CGACCTGCAGGAGCTGGCGGGACGCGTCGAGCCCGTAGAGGAGCCGGTCGCTCAGGAACAGGATGGCTGCCGCCGTGGCACCGTCCCCGTCGAGGATGGCGGCCTTCAAGGACACCTGGAGGTCATGCAGGGACACAGTGAGCCCGAGAGACGTGGCACCTGCCCGCAGAGAAGAAGGCGGCCCGGGAACAAGCCTGATCTTTGGGGTGATTTTTTATCAAACAGGAGCATTGCACCCTGGCTGGTGAGGCTCAGTGGATAGAGCGTCGGCCCGGGGACTGAAGGGTCCCGGGTTCAATTCCAGTCAAGGGCACGTACCTGGTTTGCAGGCTCAATCTCTCACCCCGGTGGTCGGGGCGTGTGCAGGAGGCAACCAATAGATGTGTCCCTCTCACATCCATGTTTCTCTCTCTGTCTCTCACCCTCCCTTCTGTTTTCTCTAAAAATCAATGGGAAAATATCCTTGGGTGAGGATTAACAAAAGGAAGGAAGGGAGGAAGGAAGGAAGAAAAGAAGGGAGAGAGAGAGAGAGAGAGAGAGAGAGAAAGAGAGAGAGAGAGAGAGAGAGAGAGAGAGAGAGAGAGAGAGACTGCATTAGGCCACTGAACCGAAAGAAAAAACATAAGGCCAAGCCCAGTCCAGCTGCGGGAATGACAATACTCCTTCCCGCCCTTTCCCCACGCCATTCCTGAATCACACACGTGACAAAGCGTGTTTCCTCACACCACAGGTGAACATGGAGCACAGCCTGCTTCCCACGCCTCCTCCCCGTCATGTCACTCCTTTCTGCCCGGGCCCTGGCCCAGGGGCGGCTGACCGTCCGGCTGGCACGTGGGGGAAGGACCTGGCGGTCGTCTCTCTCGGGAAGGAGCCGCCCGAGGCAGCGGGATCCCTCGTGCACACCCTCACCTGGAGGAGAGCCGCCCATCTGCGGTGTTTGCTTGGCCCAGCCCCTCCTGTGACAGGTTGGGGTGCCCACACAATCCCGGGGCTCGCGGAGCAGACCCCTGTGCTGCACACAACGTTTTCTCTTCCAGCTCGGCCTTGACCTGAACTAGAGGTAAATGCGGTCTCCTCTGCCTACGCCTTTTGCTGAGGAAGCTCCTTCCGCCTCCGGGGCCCAGGAGGGGGAGGAGGTGTCATTTGTCTGATCCTCCAAGGACCCCGCCGTTCCCACTGCCCGACAGACCATGGCTCCCTTTGAAGCAGCCGTGATGTCGCTGCTTGACCTTGACCCCCACCTCCCCAACCTTGACCCCCATCTCCCTGACCTTGACCCCACATCCCCGACCTTGACCCCACATCCCCGACCTTGACCCCCACCTCCCTGACCGTAACACCACCTCCCTGACCTTAATACCACCTCCCTGACCTTAATACCACCTCCCTGACCTGGCCCCATCTCCCTGATCTTGACCCACCTCCCTGACCTTAACACCACCTCCCTGACCTTGACTCCTACCTCCCTGACCTTGGCCCCATCTCCCCACCCCACAGGCAGCTCACGTCTACGCTCCGAGGACCCGCCTGATGCCGCTCCCTGGCTCTCTGGCCTGGCTTGAAAACAATAACTCTATTAATCTGAGCGAAGAAACACAGAGAGAACTTGCCAGCGACAGGACAGAGAGGAGCAGGAAGGAGGGTGCAGCTGAAACAGATTCATGGGCAGCACCAGACCGAAGACCCAGGAACGCGGACGGGACGCAAACCCGCCTTCTCGTCGGCGCGGCCCCTCAAGCTACGTGCGCATCTTCATAATGAAACGCACCCCAGTTTCTGAGTTTGCTGGAGCCTCTGCTCCTCCCCACTGATACCACCCGACGGCCGCGGGGTGTGCAGAGCTTAGACTGGGGCGTGTCAAGCAAGCCATCCGTCCGAAGAACCCAGGGTTCAAATGTCAACAACTCATCAGACTGTCAGCTCACAGATGGCAAGCAGCCCTGGCTCGGTTGGTTGGAGCGTCCACCCCAGATGCCCAAAGGTTGAGGGTTCGATTCCCAGCCAGGGCACAAGCCTAGGTTGCAGGTTCAGTCCCGGTTTGGGCTCG